GCTTGGACTTTTCTTTCAGTCTTTGAGCTTCTGTACTTACCTCGAAGCACTTTCCAAACAATCGGTTGTATTCATGCATAGTGTTGAAGAACGTATCGTAGTTGGCGACAGCTGCAAAACGATTACTTTCTAAACGAATAGTAAAATCACTGCAAAATTCCTTGGATGCGGTCGAAGCTTCACACTTATCTCCACTTGGTATCAGCCACGGCTTCAGTTTTTGACAAAGCGCCCCGAAATCATTGGAGAGGCTTGCTTTAGATGTTATGGCAGTATTGTCGAAAAAAAGCAGTTAGTGGTTGAGACGCAGGAACAAAACATGGTAATTGTGTCATCTCTAACCTACATCACGTCTAATGTATGCATGCAACGGAGAACAAAGCCGAGAATGAGTCAGAGGGGATTGAAGCGCCGTGTACAAGCGCGATCATCAGGGATTCGAATTTTTTCGAAACTCCAAAATTCGGGCTATTTGCTTTGTTAAAACGCTGCTGCAGGGGTTAAGCATCTGAATGTCAGTCTTGGCAGACATCCAAATGTTCAGGAAACATATGCCACAATTATCAGTGATGAACTCCAGAGAAACTTATGTGTAACATCGAAAGCATCCAAGGTTTACGTGATGATTTGGTTGTGTCATTTCCAAAGAACGCGAACAGTAGCAGCTGTGCTACGATGTTGCGCAAATTCTTTAAAACTTCCACCGATTTAGTACAATGTTCGAGCAGTGCCCTTTCACACTCACCTCCTGGAAACAACCTACGCAACTCAAATGCGTAACTGGTCATCTTCTGGAGAGAAATCTCCTCCCCTTCATTCGAAAGTCTTCTTAAGATTTGCAAAAGGTGGTAGTTTTTCACTGGACAGTAGGAAGGATCCTCTTCCTTCTGCCATCTTTCCGACTGAGCTGATCTACAAAGAGATATGTGTATTTTTCATCCATGGTGATTGTCGATGAAAAAACAGCCATGTTTGTTGCACATGCTGGGGCGTACTAGCGGCTGGATTTTGCAGTGGCGCCAGCCCGTTCTTCACCATTTGTAGAAGACGGCAAGGCGAACATAATTGGTGGAAAACGGGCTGACGTTGTGCCAAATCCAGCCCTTCTGACATGCCCCAAAATACGTGACGAACAGGACTGTATCAATATGAACTCACAAAGAAATGAGCATCTTCTTCACACTTCCCCACTGTTCATGATCCAAATATAAGCTCAGCACGTCAGGAACTATCTCTTCAAAGTTCGTATCCTCTGGCCAACCATAAGAAGACAAGAAAGCGTGAACTTTTGATGAATCCTGAGAAGAAATGTTTTATTCGCTAACTAATTAGCCAGAATTAGCGACAAAAACAACCGTACCCTATCATCTGCAAACT